CTCTTCCGATCTCCCCAAAACCCCAAAACCCCGTTAGTAAGCAATAATGTGAAATTAAATGATGTTATAAGTTTAAATTTAAATCAATCAAAATGGACGATTTCGATGGAGGAGGATTCAATCCTAATGAGATACTTAAAAATATCAGGCAATCTCGACAAGCAAACAACTAAAGCAACAAGAATACGTCAAGTAACAATAACAATCAAAGTATTTTGGAGTAGTTACTCTAAAATGAATTTAACAAGGCAGGTGATAGAGATAACAGTGGTAACAATCCTCAGCAGAGATATTCTGCAATTAACAATAGTCAAATGAATCAAAGGGAGTAAGGATTATCCAAACAATCTAGAGTCAGTAAAATAGACAATTACAACAATCATGAGTATTCATTCTAGCAATATAATCCCAATCCAGACTAGAATCAACAAAGGAAATCATTTATTCAGCCAAACTAAAGCAACAATAATGAAAAGGAATAGATTAACTTGTAACAATAAAATCATCAATTGTAACTGTAGTTTAAGCAATTTTAACAGCAAATAACTTAGCTCTCATAAAATAACAAACTCTTAGAAGATAAGCTAACTAAATAGATCAAAGATAATTAAGATTTAAGATTTAAAAATCAAGAATTGATTAGTAAATGTGATGAGACTTAACGAATAGGAGAAAGCTAAAAGAACCTATATGAGTCCTAGTTGCAAACTCTCAGAAATGAAATTAAGATCCTTAAAAAATAGATCTAAAAGTAAGAGTCTACTAGCCCAATGAGAACGAGCTCTTAGAGTATTTCATAAAAGCAAGGAACAACTCTGAATGTGTTCAACTATAATATAGAAGAAAAATTCTCAAGACAGTCAACTACATAAAGTAACAAAGCATAGACTTTATAAAATAGTTAAAAATAGTAGTAGCTGACTGGAAAGTTAGAGCTTGAAAAATTTATTGAGGTATTAAAAGAGCATCCCAACATTGAGAGACCAGTCATTGAAATAGATTTTTCCTAGTATATGCTTGATGCCTGCTGAATAAAATATGATTACTATGGAATAAAATTAATTTCTTTCATTGACCATTAGATAATAATGATAATTAGTATTTATTAAATGCTCTTAATCCAATTTCTAATAAGAATTAATATATATTATTATCCAAACAAGAAACTACATATAATCATTAAGCTCCCTCTTCTTGAATAAGCCCTCTCTGTTGAATCTTCTTGCACTCTCCTCCGGCCTTGGGATCTATATCAGCTAGATAGTAATTGCCTTCTTTAGAAATGGCAATAACTTTATTATCTCTAATTGCACAAATAGCAGATGAATCGATAATTCTGAACTATGCGAAACTCCACTCACTATCAAAGTATTTTGGTAATACACCCTTCATGAATGATAACATACTCTTGGTATTGTTACTGCTGGTATCTTCCTTTTGCAAGTTTTATTATTTATTTGGCTCTTCCTCATTAGCGGCGTTTAATTCGCACAAATCTCTTTTAGATTGAGCTGCTAAGTGAACATCAGCTCTGATTGAGAAAATATGAATAGTTCCCTTGTCAGATGAACAAGCCAAGAAACGGGAAACTGGGTCGAATGAAATGCAGTACACATCAGCATGATCTGATCCTCTTCTGACTTCTTAGATTTAAGAACCTGTGTCTGTATCGAATAATCTTATTAAAGTTCCCTATTTTAATGATTACTTTATCAAAATATTCATACCTTGTCACTAGCTGTTGCAAGGATATTTCCCTCACTATTTAAAGACAAGGCAGCCAAAGAGCTTTGATGAGCATTTATCATCAAGGTCTTGTTTCCTTTGTCAAAGTGAATAACTCTCACGGAGCCTACCTTCTTCTCTGGGCATGCCATAACACAGACATCTTTAGATGGGCTCATTGCACATAATCCCTTTAGATTGCTGCTTGTCTCAACTACCTCTGCCATTTTCAGGTTTTAGAAGTTGTACACGTAAGTCTTGTTCTCTAACACAACGATAATCCTAGTCAATAAATTTTGTCAATTTTTGATCAATAAATAAATTCCTCAAATTCAAGAGAGTTGTTTAAGTTTGATGTTGATTTGAATACTTACTTGTCTTTTCTCAGTCTGACTCCTCTCACTTCTTGTTTGAAATTTAGCTCTCCAATGCATTTCATTTGAGAATCGTCCCAAAGCATGACTTTGTTAGGAGGATACTTGGGGGAATCACCGCCTCCCACAAGAGCAATAATATTCGTGCGATAAAGCATCTCAACTATTCCAATTCCACCATCGAATTCTATATTCATTATTGTAATCTTCAAATAAGCTTTCGTACCTCTATGGAAGGTGTCCTTGAATGGGAAAGTATTAAAGATTCTAAAGCCTGCGGAGGTACCGCAAGTAAAGCAACCGGCATCCTAATTGAAACCTACAAAGAGGATAGTCTCCTTAGCTTAGGCAGGGGAAGCTGCATTGTTCATTTCTACTGTTTATCTTATTATTAAAATTATTAATTATTATCTTATCAATATATTTGAACAAAATCAAATTTCAAGGGGTTTTGGGGTTTTGGGG